TTTTTTTTGTTATCATATTTAGATGTTGTTTATGAAGAATCAAATCATACGGATCCAAAAATTCATGAATGGAGACATTCTATTGAAAAGATTACTATTATAAACAATTGAAGATATTCGTTTTTTTTTCTTCTTGTTAATCATAATTCGATAAAGAAAAATACAAAATTACTTAAATTTTCTGTTTTTTATTCAAAAGACAAAAAACAACAACAACAAAGATAAATATTAAAAACATAAATAGTATTTTTAGTTAAAGTTTCTTTTTCTTTCTCTTCTATTTTACAAAAGAAAGAATGAAAAAAGAAATAACTTGATTAACGAGTTTTTGCTATGACATTTATTTCATAGTTTATTTCAGATTAACCGTATTTTTATTGACAATAATTTTCTTGCTTTTCCTTAACTCTTTTAGGACAGCTTTAATTCTGAAAAAACACAAAAGTAGTGTACTTTTACAAAAATCTCAACAAATTCAAGATCGATAATGTATATAAGCATCACTCCTATTTAAAGGGTTAATTACTCATTTTTCTAGTTATACTTTTTTTCTATTGTTGCATTCATTTTTCTAAGTATGCATAATTACTATGAAATTTTATAATAAAATAGTGAAGAAAATGGAAGTATAGTAGGCTCATATCGATTATGAAAATAAAGCATAAGAATCTTACCAGATCACGCAAGAAACGTTTTTGTTCTATAAAAAAAAGAATGAGAGAGGAATAAAAAAACATCAGAATCGTGTCTGCTGACGTATCTCAAGGGTGTGAGTATCGGATTAACTTAAACCCATCCACCCGTATTACTCAGAGCCCTGTTGATTGTTTTATTTATAATTAATTTCGGAAAAGCAAGATTTGTGATTAGAGGATTAGTTTGCCTTAAATATACAAGTTGATTTGTTCTACCATTAGTTAACTAAAAATATATTGTCGAAAGACACTTCATAATAGATATATAAATCTGTTAGAAAAAGTAGTCGAAATGAGCGCGATATGTGACAACAAAATGTTAGTAATTAGGGGTATCTTTACTTTTTTGTCTTCTTCTGACGTTTGTTGTTTTTTTTTCTTTGCCTCATCATCGTTGCATTTCCTATAGATTTATCAGCATATTGTGCTGCTCTACAATAATACACATCATGGTGAAGACAACCGTAAATAATAAAAGACCATGTGTAACTAATAGATTCTTAGTAAGTATTCTATATTGAGGATCAATCCATGGATTTATCCTAGAAAAAATAATTTAATAAAATCATTCAACGAGGAAATTCTATTGATCAAAGAACTAAGTACGAGAGGACTTATTCAGTTTTAATGAATATCAATTTAATATTTCTTTTAGAATAGGATCAAATGTGCTGTAAGCGTGTCAGTGGAAAAGGCGAATATAACAAGAATAACAATTATGACTGATGCTCTTGCTTCTTGTTTATTTTTTTGATTGATGATATGTTCAACAATATCAATTTTGCTTATCTGTATCATAGTGCATATCCCAAGAGAAATATAACGGTCTGTAATCAGACTCACGGTTATCCAACGAAAAAGGTATGAGACGACGCCTTTTCATGCCTCATAACGCGATGTTTCAGATGATCTGAAAGGATTGCGATTGTTTGCTGGAGGTGGTGTTAAAGAAACCAGAAATGCAGAAAAGGAGGCCGTATTTTTGTTGAGTAACTCAAACGAATCAACATATGCAAAAATAACATATTTAAGTGCTGATCTACATTTTTCTTTATTTAAAAAATTGGTGACTCGAACTGTTATTATTAAACCTGTGTTATATGACTGGACAGAAGAAGAACAAGAAGAAGCTGCATCTAGTATGTATAACAACTAACGAATATCGCTAGAAAAAAGTGAATATAAAATTTTTGTTTTGAATATTTTCAATTTTTATTAGATGACCGTGAACTTATTCTACCATCCCGCCTTGAACTTCTTTATGATTGTGAATCAAAAACTGGCCAATTATTTGTGGAATGGAATGAAAAACAAAAGCAACGACAATGAGAACGACTGTAAACGATGTAAAAACGGTGACCGTTTCTGATAGCTGGAATCATCGTTCTAGGTATATGGTATTCAATGTTCTATGTACAAAAGAAGAGGAGTACAAATGGATCATTAATAGCAATGAAATCAACAAGAAGAAAAATGAATATGATAGTTTTACCATTGACACGTTAAAATAGAGCGCTATCATATATTCCATCAAATTCTTTTTTTATCTACACAGCAATAACATGCTTAACGTAAATCAAAAATTTGTATCTCTAGAAAAATGAGGATTAACGCTCGTCCATAATTTTATTAAAATTTGAACAAAATTCTAGGAGAACCTTTTCTAACATCATTTCAGTCGTTAAAACTTCAATTCATCAGATTTCAAATGAAATCTTCTTTTGGGTTTACCTAAAAAAATAGTTTTTATGATTTTTATTCTAGTTCTTCAACATCAGATGAATCACAAGATGAACAATAAAATGATGAATAACTTCACGATTATATCCGTTTATTTATTATTTTTTTTATTTTTTATTTTTTATTTCAACCTACATGACAATAAAAGAAACATATTTAATAGATAAGAAAATAATCAAATGTTATCTGCTCTGTGTAGAACATACATAAAAAGCAATTTTGAAACGGATATTAGTGAAGTAGAAAATCCTTTTCATTTCAAAAGTCAATAAGAGTATCTCCTATTCATAACTACAGAAAACTGTATCTATGAACTGTCATATACATATACTTGAACTTTCACTCTAAAAAAAATAGGTATTTTACCAAACTTCGAAAAAACGTTTGGGAGATAGTCGAAAGGCGTCGAAAACTCTTGAAAATTGGGTATGAGAGTATGTGGGTGCAGATAAATGAAAGACTATGCCACACCCACACCCTCAACTGTTTATATCTTTGAAAGATCCTTAAAGATGTGCCAAGCTTTGTGATTTATGAACAAAAATAATAAATATAGATTTACATTATACTCTTGTCATCAGAATCTTCGCTGAGTATACATCGAACATTTCTAGTCAAGGAATCATGAGAACATCATCAGATCTCTGGTAAAGGCTCTCATCCTCGTATAGGTTAACATTGCCAAAAATGGCACGCAATAGTTTACCCCTAATTGAAACTTAAAATTCAGAAAAAAAATTAGTATTTATTGTACTTTGTGTTGCCATTAAAACTGTTCAAACTATAGTAAACTGTTCTATTATATTTTGCTTCATATCTTATATCATTCATTATTGCATCGTGGCGAGGAAAATAAAACTGATATATTTTTGCTTGTCTAGTTTTACAAGAAAAGATTTCATTGAACAGTAGTTTTTAAATTATTTAAAAGTAGTGGTATATTGATACTCATTTGAAATGTATAATTAATGGAAGATGGAAAATGATGCATGATCAAGTCTATTTTTTCATTGATTTGGTGACGAATGCACTTTTTTAAAACACAAATCTCTGCCATCAACAATAATCTCGTCAACTTGTGTGATTCATCACATATTTGATTATATAAAAAAAACCTTTTTCTCACTTGTGATTCGCAAATAACAAACACAACTCGAGAATGTTTTTCTCTGTGAAAGCAAATAAAATCATTTTGTTTTGCGGACTATTTCAGCGTTTGTTTTATACAGCAACATCATAAGCAGTTAAAGAAAGAAAAAAACAACATTTCGAAAGGAAGTGGACATCTATAAAAAGAACCATTTTTAATCTTTAATTCACTAGAAAATTTTACACATTAACTCCAGTTCAAATCATTCACGACGCAAACAATGAGCGAAGAAAAATCAATAGCAAATACATCTACAGTTCCAAAAGATGCAGAAGGTCGTCGACGTATCAATATCCAACAGATGCAAAATGTTCTTCTTATATGGTTAGACAGTAACATTGACGAAACAAATCTTGATTGTCAAAATACAGTCACAAAGTTACGAAGTGCTGTTAACGACATCAAGACATGTACAAATGGTGATCAATGCCTTGGATTCATTCAAACTGTCGTCGATAACAAGATATGTATGATCATATCTGGATCACTTGGACAACATATTGTGCCTCGTGTATACAATGTTTCCCAAGTTGACTCAATATTTATTTTTTGTGGCAATAAAAAACATCATGAACAATGGGCCAAAGATTGGCCCAAAATAAAGGGTGTCTTCACAGATATTACACCCATCTGTGAAGCACTCAAAGACGCTGCTCATCAATGTGAGCAGAATGCCATTTCCATGAGTTTCGTGGGAACATATAAAAAGTTGGATCAATTAGATCCTTCTTTTATGTACACTCAAATACTTAAAGAAATATTATTAACCATCAAGTTCAACCAAAAGCACATCCAAGATTATATTAATTACTGTCGTGATGCTTTTAAAGGTAATACAAAAGAAGTCAAAAACATTAAACAATTAGAAAGCCAATATCATAACAAAACACCGATTTATTGGTACACCTGTGAAATGTTCTTGTATCCCATGCTCAATCGTGCATTACGACTGATGGATGGTGATATCATCACACGTATGGGCTTTTTTATTGGTGATCTACATCGACACATTGAACAACTGCATCAAGAACAATATGCTGGTACGACTGCTACTAATACTTTCACTGTTTATCGTGGTCAAGGTTTATCTATAGAGGATTTTGAAAAAATGAATAAAATTAAAGGTGGTCTTATTTCATTCAACAACTTCTTGTCCACTAGTAAGGTTCACAACATATCACTGGGTTTTGCTCAACATGCTACAACAAATCCAGATCAACTAGGTGTCCTGTTTATTATGAAAGTTAATCCTGCTCAATCAACAACACCATTTGCTTCCATTGCTGGTATTAGTGACTTCCAAGGAGAGGAAGAAATCTTATTTTCGATGCATAGCGTTTTTCGTATACAGGATATTAAACAGATGAGTGAAAATAATCGTTTATATGAAGTTCACTTGGTACTGACTGCTGATAACGATCCAGAATTACACAGACTTACTGATTTTATTCGAAAAGAGAGTTATTCAGGCGATGAAGGATGGTACCGATTGGGATCAGTACTATATGACATGGGTCAATTTGATAAAGCTGAAGATATCTATCAAGTTTTACTTGATCAAGCCAAAGATGATAAAAACAAGGCAAATATTTATCATCGACTTGGTTTGATCAAAGATGATCAAGGGAAATATCAAGAAGCACTTGCATTCTATGAAAAAACAGTTGCTATTAAACAGCAATCACATTCTCCCAATCATCCTGGTTTCGCTAACTGCTACAACTGCATAGGTAGAGTGCATTTCAAAACGAGTAGTTACCCAAAAGCACTTTTTTATTATGAAAAAGCTCTTGAAATTCAACAACAATCACTTCTCCACAATCATCCTAGTTTGGCTTATTCCTACGGCAACATTGGTTTAGTGAATTACGAAATGGCTGATTATCCGAAAGCACTTTCATATCATGAAAAAGCCCTTGAAATTCAACAACAATCACTTCCTCCCAATCATCCTGATTTTGCTGGATCATACAACAACATTGGTTTAGTACATGAAAAAACAGGTAATTATTCGAAGGCACTTTTTTATTATGAAAAAGCTCTTGAAATTCAACAACAATCACTTCCCCACAATCATCCTAGTTTGGCTCATTCCTACGGCAACATTGGTTTAGTACATGACAACACAGGTAATTATCCGAAAGCACTTTTTTATTATGAAAAAGCTCTTGAAATTCAACAACAATCACTTCCCAACAATCATCCTGATTTGGCTAAATGCTACTTCAACATTGGTTTAGTGAATTACAAAATGGATGATTATTCGAAAGCACTTTCATATCATGAAAAGGCTCTTACAATTCGACAACAATCACTTCCTTCCAATCATCCTGATTTGGCTTCTTCGTACTACTGCATTGGTGCGGTGTATGGAACGATGAATAGTTGCTCAAAAGCCCGTACATTTTTTGAACATGCTATACAAATTGGAGAACAGTCATTACCTTCGAATCATCCTGAACTTCAGATGTATAGAAATAGCCTCGAACGTGTAAAAGACAAATAATAAATCGTATTGTTATGAAAGAAAAAATAAACTTTTTAAAGGAGAAAAAAATTGTTTTAAATGCGCGCACGTACAGAGAAACTCTGATCTTATTGAGACACGAATGAGTGGTCACACCCATTGGTAAGGTGAACAATAAATACGAATAGGCATGTATTGTAGAAAAAGACCTTTACGATATAGAATTATTATGTCTGAACAAAGTAGACTTTCTGTGTTGGATAAGAAAAAGAACTGTATTTATTTAATACGATGAACTATTCTTTCTGTTCCAATAAAAATAATAATTCGTGTATTGAATAAATAAATAAATGATTTATAGACATATTAACCAAGGTTGCCAAACCTCCTGATTTGAACAGGAGTCTCCTGTTTTTCAAACTTTTCTCCTGGTCAAAATTCCCATGAATTCAGGAGCTGATTTTGAGGATTTTCTCCTGATTTCCAATGTTGTGGCAAACTGAATTTATCGACATTTAGAATGAATAAAAAAGCATAAAGGAAAGCCAGAACTGGTATAGTTAAGGGTAATAATATTCGCTTATTTTCTACACAGTGAATCTGTGCCTAATTCATAGAATTAACCTCATTAACTTTTGTGTGTATTGATCCCCAATGTTTATTGCAACTCAATATTCAGTCACAAAGTCTTAATAACAAGATAACAAAAATCGAGCGACCAATTATTGATGTCGAAATGAAAATTAGAATGAAAGGTTAATCCAATTGTATAGTTTTTTTAATTATTTAATAGATGATCAATTATCAAAGCGAGCTTTCCTTAGCAGAAAAATATAGTAATGATGCTAAGGTCATACGAATAGTGATTTTCTAGCAAAAATCAGCCTAAATACAGCATAAGAAACATCCCGAGAAAAACATGAATCAATCAGTTGTGCAGTTTTCCAGCGTCTTCTCGCTATTTTTTTACTGTTTCGGTGATCGAGACGATGAATCCGAATTTGTATCACGAGTAAAATAGAAAAATATACAAACATAGATTTATTCCATAGTTTTGTTTCAAAACTTACACATACAAAATTTTGAGACATTGGTGATTACCTCTCGATTTTCTTTATTTCATTTGTGAGACAGTCGTTCTTATTACTCCCTTGATGGAGACAACTCACAAGAGATTATAATAGTGACAACTTCATTCTCTGGGAGAAAACAGCCTGATATCCTTTTTACTAACCTGATTTCCAAGACAAGCTTCTCATTTTATTCCGAATTCTATGAAAAACTCTTGATTGTTTTCTGATTCTTTAGATTAAATATCCTGATTTTTTACAAAAAACTCATGATTTGTAAAATTTGGATTTAGCAACCCTGCTCAGAACTCAGAAATACCATTCCCATTGAAAATATTAATATTCATGATTGTCTGTGGTAAGTTATAGAATATGGACTTTTAATAATTGGTAAAATGTGAATGCATAAGTGGGCTCGAAATCTCGCGTTCACGTGTCGAGCTCACTTTTTTTGATCGACTATGAAATGAATTTATCAGTATTTGGAAATAAAAGTTCTTCTTCAACTCTTTATTATTCTTCATTAATTGAGCGATCATTAAATTCTACATTAAAATCTTCATGACGTTTCGCTTATACACAGAATTGAGCTGATGATTTTCATACCTTGTGATTAGCACAAAATTCAATGATAAAAACTAATCTATCCCATAAATTGAGATTTTTATATGAATAGTAGTGTTAGTATTTACTTTGTTATGAAAAAACTAAAATCAGCATTAAGATGTTTAAAGAAGCCTATAAATTAATTCTAAAACAACTCTTGCATGAGAAAGACTTCAATATATATTGAAAAAAAGAAGATCTATTAATACAAAATAATTCATCAACTGAGATTTCTTCACACGTTTCGAAAATTTTTCATTTGATTTATTATTTTTTTAGGCTGTCGATATGTAGAAAGACGTTTGGCCAATCATAGTCATATATTGTTTCGATAGAGGCCCTAGATAATTGATAAAAAGAAACAGAACATTAAAATGTATGATTTTTATTTATTCAAATGTTTATAAAAACCTTTTCGTTATCATGTCGTTTTATTCGTCATACACATTTTATAAAACGATCTATCGTTACGACGATAGCAACTTCTACTGAAGAATCGTCTAAAACAAAAAAACCGATTGAGAAACGGAATGATTTATTAGCAAAACGTTATATTGGTTTAGAAAAAAATATATGGTAAAATGTCAAATATTATTTTTAAATTTAGTTTTTTTCTTAGGGTTGAATTCGTTGCATTATTTGCCGAACACAAAGCTATAAATGTAGGTCAAGGTTTTATTGACTATGCACCACCGAATTTTCTTATCAATTTTTATAAAGAAGCACTTGATGATAATAATATACTTTTACATCAGTACACACGTGGATTTGTATGTTTAGTTCATATTTGTTCTAATTATTAGAATTATATAAATTTTTTCTAAAAAAAAAACAGGGTCATCGACGATTAGTTGAAGCTATTTCAAATGTTTATTCATCATATTTCAATCGAAAAATTGATCCATTGAATCAAATTCTAATTACTGGTGGTGCTTGTCCATCACTTTTTAATTCTTTTCATGGTTTTCTCAATCCTGGCGATGAAGTAAACTATTTCTTTCTATAACTTGTTTAATATAATATTATTTATAGGCTATTTTAATTGAACCATTTTTTGATTGTTATGAACCAATGGTTCGATCAGCTGGCGGTATTCCGCGATGTATAGCACTTAAACCAGTAATTAATTTAACTTAGTTTTTTTTAATGATATTCTTAATTGTGTATATATATAGAAATCAGAGTCAACTAAAGCTGATATTTCATCAAGTGCTGATTGGATTCTTGATAAAAATGAATTAGAATCAATGTTTAATTCACGTACTCGTTTGATCATTATCAATACACCACATAATCCTATTGGTAAAGTATGTATCAGATATTTTAATGTCGAATAAAATTAATTTCTATTTCAAAAAAAATACAAGAAAGGTTTTTACACATGAAGAACTTGAACATATTGCAAGTTTATGTCAAAAACATGATGTTATTTGTATATCTGATGAAGTCTATGAATGGATTACATATGATGAAAACAAAAAACATATACGTATGGCAACATTACCTAATATGTGGGAACGAACATTAACAATAGGAAGTGCAGGAAAAACATTTTCATCAACTGGTTTGAAACTAGGTTGGACCATTGGACCAGAACATCTTCTTCGATCATGTCAAATTGTTCACCAAGTAATTGCATATCTATATGTATATTGTTGATATCCATAAATCTTTTATAGGATTGTGTATATACATGTCCAACATTGTCACAAGAAGTTATTGCACGTTGTTTTGAATATGAATTAGAACGTTTAAATTCACCTGAATGTTATTTCAATTCAATATCATCAGAATTTCTTGAAAAACGTAATAAACTTGTTGAAGTTTTAAAAGAATGTGGAATGAAACCAGTGGTACCTGATGGAGGATATTTTATTCTCGCTGATTTTAGTCAAATTGGTTTGTTGAAAAATATTTATGAAAAAAAAGCTAACTTTTGTTTTTAAAATAGCTGGCAATAAATTTCAATCAGATACTCACGATATGAAAGATTTTAAATTTGTTCGATATTTAGCAAAAGAAAAAGTAAAATAAATATGAATAGAAATTAATGAAAAAGGTTATATATTTTCTTTTAGCAAATTGGAATTATGCCTGTCACTGGTTTTTATACATCTGAACATCGTCATTTAGCTGACAATTATATTCGATTTTGTTTTGCTAAAGTAAGTTTTAATTAAAAAAAATCAGTTTACTATTCTGATATATTTCTTGTAGAAAGATGAAACACTCGATAAAGCAATCGAAATTCTTCGACAACTTTAAAAAAATTAAAATTTTTTTTAAATATTTGATATAAAATTAATAAATTTCGCATAATTGATATAAGCATTTCACGATATTGAAGTCGTTCTATATTATTTCTATAATATCTAATACGAAATAAAAATGTGAAGTAGATAATACTTCAATAATTTTCACTTCTGATTTACACCAATCTTCGTCTTGAGGAGTGGGTGTGAATCTTTACCCTACGCAAACCCACACTCTCAAGAAAAAAATTTCAATATTAAGCAACTATAATTAAGGATACTATTAAAAAAGTAAACCATTCACTATTACGTCAGTATGACATTAGAAGGTTTTTTTTCTTTCTTTTGAATCAATAAATAATAATTTAATTAATCAAATAAATTCTTTAATTATCATCGAAAATAATTTGCTCTCTAATCTTTATCCTTATCTAAGTTAGTTATTGTAGATATCACTCATCATTATTGTGCAATGATGTTACCACGTGAAACATTAACGTTATGCTCATAACAATGGTATATATGCATAGATCAAGAAAAATGAAATGATCTACAATGATTTACATTGTATTTTCATTACCTATGGTAGAAAAAATTTAAGTACGAGTGTTTCATGCCTGAATAATTTTTTAACTAGTAGGAATAGTGATTAGTCCTCGTCCGCAAATCAATCTATATCATATGTGAAGAGGAAAAATCAGCGCAATATTCTATTGGTTTAATCGAATCGTGCTCCATATTGAAATGATAATAATCAATGTCAGTTATACCTGATCGTTTTTAAAGTATGCTTGGGCATATCGATTATTTTATTTTTCGTTCTGTATAGACAAAGTTATAGCATTGTACAAAAACAACAAGATAAAAAAATAGCCAAAAATCAAAGCTATAATATCCCATTGGCCCAATTAAAATTTCTGGGACATAAAAATAAAATAAAATATTCGTTACGTTTAATAAACTAATCATCTCTCTCTCTGTACTTTTTTCGTACACTATCATTCATGTATAAAAGGATACGCAATCTTCTATGTAAATTACATTATTGATCTATTCATCTACAATCAATATACAATTCGAACGATGCGATTCTGTTTGATTATTCTCGTTGTTCTTCTTATTGGCTTAGCAAATGCACGGCCTCAGTCATCAGAACTGTCTCATCAATTACGTCGATTACTCAAGACATATGAACGTCAACTTGTCAATAGAGAAGAATCTTCTTCTCATAATAACTATGATTCAATGCGGTCATATGTTCGAAGTAAGAAATTTTTGATTTCTATTTGAAGAAGATCTCTCTTAAAAGTGTAAAGATTATTCATATTTGCATAATAATTCTTTCTTTTGTAGAATCGTCGAATACTCCTCCAGTAACTTCTTATCAAGTACTTCCAATCCTAGATGATTTCACAGCACTTACAAGTCAATATACACAATTAGGAAGTCAAGGATATAGTGATGCTGGTTCTGTATATAGCAGTGATTACTCAACAGGAGGAAACGTTTTTGTTCAAATCCAGAAATCATCTACATTGTATGACTATCACTTCATTCCGCGAGTCACTGCAGTACAAGACTTTTTAGGCATTCTTAATAAAGAAGGTGCTTCTGGCTATCGAATCTTGATCACTAAGTATACTACTTCAGGTCCTTATTATATACTTGTGAGAAACAAAGCACGACCAAACGCTGCTTATCAATGTCAAACACCACCAAAATCAAGCAATCCCGATGATTTCGTTCAGCAAGTTAAGACACAAGGAGCTAACGGATATAAACTTTATGGCTTTGGTCCTCAGAATACCATACTCTATTGTAAAGATACATCACTATCATCAACATTTGAATATGTGACAACACCTTTTGCCAATTTTTCAGCTGATTTTGAGTCACAAGTAAATGAACTTGGTGCAAAAGGTTATCGATATTCTCGTATTATATACTTTGCGCCGGTTTTTGTTCCACTTTACTATAAAGATTCAAGCCTTCCTGATGTCAAATATAGTTATAAGGTTATACAGCAATCTGACGCATGGGAAGATTTCCCTCAACAATTAAATGAACAAGGACAAGAAGGTTTTCTTTATCTTGGCACAACTCAATTCTATTATGAAGAATATAGCGTTCAAATCTATATGGATTTGAATAAATGTCAATGTGTAGACTCTGAAACAGATTATTCTTACTAAATCTACTAATTGTTTTTTTTTCTTTTTTCTTCTAAATTAAAAATAAATATTCTTTGGTTTCTACTCGTCAATTGACATTTTTATATATGCAAGAATTGTTGAACGTGAAAAATCAATCGATGCGACGTATATTCTATATTGAGCTTCATAAAACAACTTTTTTTTGTAATCTTGAGGGTGTGGGTGTGAGTCAAAGTTCATCTTTTCTTCAGTCATACCCACACCCTCAAGATGTAACACTGTCTATTCTTTCATTCAATAAAAGAAAGAAAGCTGAAAGACAATAATGTGACAAAATCGTTCTTATCTGTGATAAAACACATGTTCGTTGTGGACTGAAAAAAAACAAGAATGAAAAAGCCGCCTGCAGAGGATACCCTTCTCCTATGTTATCGATAATAATATTTCTTATTCTTTTGTCTTTCATTCTTATGCTTTCATTTCAATAACCAACGAACATAAAGACGTACGACTCGAATTGTTGTATGTGAGATAGAAGATGAATATTTTATTGTTCAGATATGGTTCGGTAGCTTGAGACAGTTGGCGTATATTTGTTTTGCAAAAAAATTATCTTGATTATTCCTTTTTTTCATAGGTATTACTATGATTATTAATGTATATTGTATAGGAATCTATGGAATAGATAACCATTTGAGTACACAGAAACATTTACTCGTAATTCATTTCATAAGAAAAAATTTTTTCTCTTCACTCTTTAATAAATCAGTCAAGTAAACAATTAACAAATGTATTAGATCTTCTAAAATATCTATTTAATTTGAAACTAATCGTTTTATTGGCAATCATCAATCTTTATGCCATGATAAAGAAAACTTTTCGTATTCGTAGTAGCTTGACTCTTAGTTATTTGGATTTTAATAAAAATTCTAGATCTATCCTAGAATAGATATGCTATAATAATCAAATATTCGAATAAATAATAGACAAAGTTTATCATTCTTATCTTTTGTCTATTTTAAAAGAATTTCGTTTAAACAAATGTGAAAATTGTTTCTTTTGTTTGTAAAATTACTTGTCGTCTGTTCTTTACTCTGACTTTTTTCACGTGGTTTTTAATGTACAGTTACTTTCAGTTAAGTGTGTGGATAAAATATATTCAAAAAAAGAAACATAAAATTTTGTTATGTTGGAAAGATTACGAATAAATTAATCGACGAAAGAAGCAAACATTGTCACATACACAATAAGAAATAAAGTCGATAACGACACACGTTACTGAAGTTTTCTTCATTTCTCTGATTTTCATTATTTAATTGTGGTGAGTTATTTATTAAAATAATTTCAATGACAGACTTTTCTTAAGCGTTTTCACTGGTAAATAACTGTTAGTTAAAGATCCATATGATCTACTTTCTTGTGTCTATTTTATACTTATCGGATTATTAGTTTTAGTTCTCTGACATCGTCTATATCAGTTTGTTTTATTTTTTTCAAATCTATTCATTATGATTAGTAATTTAATAGAATGGTACCATTATATGAGTAAAATGTCATTTGAACAGATTTGATTTGTTTTGAGCAGTGTTGATATCAGTCGTCAAAATTTGTAATCAACTTTACCTTTATAGTCTAGATAAAGAAAACGACTAATGAATAGAGAGGAAAATGATAACTATCATATTTTGATACTTCGAGATGTTTTATATTTACAAACGTTTTTATCATTATACTTGTCCAAAAAACTAGGAATTCAGCAACTATCTACATAAGTCATATATTCACATAAGCAGATTATCAGAATTAACACACAACTTTTTAAATTATCATTTTTATTTTTGTAATCATAAACGGTGTGTAGAAAAGAGAATTATTGCTCATCACTCATTCACTTTTCATTGTCTTATTGAACTTTTCTATTTAAAACATCTCGTTGTTCTCTTTCAAATCGAACGAGTATCATAATAAGCGAGAATCTTAGGTTACATTCATTATTTTGATATGCACCATATTACAACTATATTCTTTTGTAATTATAAATGGTTATAAATAATCGAATAATTCATTGTTTCGACTGTTTAATGAATTGTTATCAATGATATATGTCAAGATAACATAGGACACATACAAAACGGTAAATTATGGTTCTTTATGATAGTAAACTATAGAAAATGACAATATATGGTATTCTTTGTAAAAAAAAGTAACTATTCTCTCTGAATTAATTTGCTTTTTCACTTTTTATCATGCTCAGAAACAAATGACATGAAAATATGACTTGAATAGATAAACTATTAAACAAATTAACATGAATGCGAACTATGTGAGCCACTTAAATGATTACACTATACTATATTGCAATGAAAACTACTATTAAAATCTAAAGAGAAGACAACAGAAAAAGAAAGAAAAAAAATAAATACAAAACTAATGTTAGTTATATTTAATATTGATATAAAACAACAAAGTAGAATCCAATGAGTATATCAAGCACAGAACTTGTTAAACAATAGAAATATTATTTGAATGGTATGATCCAACAATGAAGAACATTTTCAAAACAAAAACAGCTTTCCTTCAACAAAAATTTTGCCAGAGAACATACGATTCATTTCTTTAATCAATAATAATATATTATTCTTTTATTCTTCTGATTTATATCAAAGTTTGAAAAAACTCACATGAGAATACCATAACTAAATGGAACAATAATAGAGAAAATCTCATCTTCTTTTTTTGGCTGTAAAAAACACAGAATTTCTTCGATAATTATATATATATATATCAAACAGATAACATTTGAGAACTCTACTATTTTTAGTTTCTTGAATTAACATGGCCACTGCTGTTCTACCAAATGATGATTTTCACACAAACACCGATGATAAATCTCTAGAAATATTCTCACTTATTTGGCTCGATGCAAATGTAAACGTTAAAGACACGCGAGATACAGAAGTAAAATTACGCTCTATTATTAATCATATCAAGAAATTTCAAACTATAAAACAATGTCAACAATATATTGAACAAACATCACAAAAAGATCGATTAGTAATTATTGTTAGTGGTCGATTAGGACAAGAGATAGTACCCTGCATTCATCAACTTCGACAAGTTATATCAATTTATGTTTATTGTATGGATAAGACGAATAATGAACAATGGGCTTTCCAATTTACAAAAGTAAAACTATGCTACAAGATTGTTATTTTATTTTATTATTTTTCTACAGATAAAATCTGTTGTTGTTGATCTTGATGAGCTTGTCTCTCAAATTACAACAGATCATAAAATTCAGAAAAAGGTAGAAGAACCATTATCAATCAATATTTTCACAACAAATGTTGGTGTAGGTAAATCAACAACAGGAGTTAATGGACAATTTGTTTTTTCTCAAATTCTCGTTGACTGCCTTCTACAATTAAAATCAACTGAAATAGACATAAATGAACTTATTAATTGTTGTCAAGATGAATACGAAGGTAATTATACCGAACTAAACAATCTTCATGAATTTGAAGAAGATTATTCATCTGATAAAGTGTTATGGTGGTATACAAAAGAAACATTCTTTTATAAAACTCTTAATGCAGCTTTACGTACACAAAATATTCATATGATATTTTTATTTCGTGCATATATTTATGATATTCATCGACAATTACAAAAATATCAATCTAAGCGCCCTTTGCGAGTTTATCGATGTCAGCTAATGTCAAACGATGAATTAAATAGTCTTAAACAAAACATTGGCCAGTTCATTTCAATAAATTCATTTTTCTCCACCAGTGATGAACATTCAACAGCTCTCTTCCTCCTAGGTGATATAACTACCCAGATTGATTTAGAACGAGTATTATTTGAAATTGATGCTGATCCTAAGATGGTCGATACAAAACCATTTGCTGACATTAGTAAATATAGTTATTTTCCTGATGAATCAGAGATTCTCTTTATGATTGGTTCCATATTTCGTCTTAATAGTATTAATCGTAATGATGATCAAATATGGATCATTAAAATGACTTTATGTAACAATGATGAACATGATTTAAAACAAGTTCTTATGCATATGAAACAACAAATCGAAAATAAAGAGATAAACCTTCGAACATTAGGAAATGTATTATGGGAAATGGGTAAATTTAATTTAGCTGAAAAATATTTTACTCGTTCGTTGAAACAACTGCCATTGAATGATCCATTACATATGAGTTTATATGAAGACCTTGGTAAACTCGCATCACAAAGAGGTGATTATGATATGAGTATGAAATGGCGTCAAAAACTACTTACATTCAAAGAGAAAAATCCATTAGCTACCAATATTAGTATTAATAAAACGAACGATCCAATCGGTAAGTTTACTGAAAGAAAATCTCTGATTTTGAAGCGAGTGATCTATACAAAAATAAACTTTTTATCGCCGAAAAAAATCTTTAAAAATTCAAAAAAGTGAAACTGGTTACGATAAATAAATATTCCTTAAAAAAAATGAAGTTTTGTGTTTATCAGTTAGTCATTTTAAATAAGGGAAAATTCCTTAGAATTGAAATCAAATCGATACATTCAATACTGACTAACATCGGCTCTATTTATATTTTATTTTTTCTTATTATTAGACTGTTAAGCATTTTTTTACAATAACAGTAATATTTAGTTTCTTCGTTTATCTGTTTAAATATAATCATATATCGAACTTTGTAAAATTTTGCATTTTTAAATGTTTTTCTGCAAACATGAAAAACACTATTTATAGCACCAGAATTTCATATTTATCATTTTTATTTGTAGAGCAGTCGAATGATACAGTGTGTGCTCCACTTGATCGTATCGATGCGAAAACCGATTTCATTCTCGTCAGTGCACAAACGATTATAAATCAAATAAAGTACGTCATGACACAGATGTATGAATTGCATGAGTTCACTACACCTCGCCACTTTTTCATTTTGCCGGCAAAGCACAGCGATTGGGCAATACTGAACACAGTGCAAGACTGGTATCATGTTCATTACAAACTCTATTTTCTATGTGAATGTTCAGATGAGCCCTATAAAATGCATGTAGCTCCACATAACGGCTATTCGATTAAAAAGACGAGAGAATTCATAGTCAAGTATGGACCTTATTTACGAACAACATTGCAAATTGCTCAAATCCTGTTTAAACTTGAAAGTTTCGTTATTCCACAACTAGATAGTGTGTCAAACGCTGTTGATAGCGGTGTAGATAAGATCTTATCGACATCTGATAAGCAGAAAGAGATGAAACGGCAGTTAAACTTGGTTAAGAAATTACTAGATCGAGTCGACCATAGATGGGTACAGTCAAAGTCCACAATGCTCAGACAAGATAAGTCACGTGGAGTGCCACTTCAAGGATCAGATCTGCGTGAAGTTGAAACGTATCTGGACGTTGCCGATAATAAACGTAGTTTAGGAAACCTGTATCGAACAGTCACCGTTGATGGGTATGTGCGTTGGGTGTGCCTAGAGCACTATGGCGATATCAGCCTTAATAATGCGATGTTCAAATATATTGATCAACTGGAAGCCATGGGAGGTAAATTCAATATCAAAACTAGAGAAGCAGTGATGGGTCCAAAGGATTTGAGTAGCAAGAGTATCAAAATATTGTGTGAAGCTCTCACCAAAGGTTTTAACGTCCTGAAATTGACATTTAAAGAGTGTAAACTGAAAGAAGATGATCTAGTCATGCTGCTTAATATTGTCATTAATCGCTCTTCAATCCAATGTCTTAACATGTTTGCTGTTTGTGTTTGCAATCTGTTTGGAATTACGAAGTATATCTGCAAATGCATGATTGCAGAATTCAATAATCAATCTTTCCAAGTTCGTTTCTGCGGCAGTTACCAATATGGACATACATCAATGCTTACTCAACTCTTGCTACAAAATAAGATACGTCGAACATTCGATTTTTCTGCTTGTGATTTTCTGGGCCACGAGCGTGATCTTCAGAAGTGCTTCGAAATGAAAGGAATTGTGACAGGATTGATTGTAGAACATTCTAACAATGTTGATGTCATAAATGCTTTGTTCAATTCTAAAATGAAAACATTATATCAACTAAAGTTCAACAATTCATTGCATGTACCATCGACTTTATCTCGTTTCTGTGAAATGTTGAAAACCAATCAAACACTAAAAGAAATTGATATTATGGATCAAAGTGGTTTCAAAGATGAAACATTCATTGTTAATCTTTTGAATATTTTGAAAGGACACAAATCAATTAAACATCTCAGTCTGCATGTACAAAATATTCAACCAAAAGATCTGAAAGAAGCTAGCCTAATAGACTCATTGAAAAATGATCAATTTATTTCACGCCTACGTATATCTGAATCTGTTATCACACATGAACTCACACAGGCATTTATTCAAGCCTCTACAGAACATCATATCTTGAGACATCTCGAGTTTTATCATACTCAAGTGACTATCGACGATGTTCAACAGCTGAAATCCTTATACGAGAACCACAGATTGATGTACCTGAACATATCAGAACAGACGTGTCGGTACGTAATGCTGGAAGAGACAAATGGGCGGCTTACAAAAGGTAAGAACTGAGATATGTATTTCATTCATTTTTCGGAAGATACCAAAATTTGATTGAGAAAGAGTAGATCATATGTACACCTGTACACCAAAATACTCATTGATGTACCATAGTAGTCTGACGTGAGATCTTATTCGATCTCTAAGCACTAAGTGTGCTGATACGGTTTAGCTTTTAAAACATTATCAGGTATATATCTTATCCTTATGACAGTAGAACGTGTCACCACCAAAATCTCTTTTTGCAATGAAAAATTTGATTTCAATCCATGGCATTTTGTGTCATCGTAAAGAATGTATGCCTGAAACGATTGAAGAACATGTGTCGAAATGTAAAGAAGGTAGAATAGATAATCAATCAAATAGTACTGAAATTCAGTTTTCTCAAACGATTATCGACATTTGCTTTTCTTCAACCAAGACTATTGACATGACTTATGATAAACAATATACATGATATTTTGTACTTTTTTCACATGAAATGTTTGTCGTCTCCATTTTTAATTCAAAAATTTCAAAGTAGACTAAATTGAATCAACTAGAGTAAGCATTGTTCCCTGATGATTGTCAACGAAAAGTGTTGAGAATAAGCCACATGTGTTCGGTTTTTGTTCACAATACATGTACACTATTCGTTGTAGAGGCATTGATCATCATATTTATCTCAATAATTTTGATTTACAATAACGAATATCTTTCATACTAAATTATCATCTTATCATATATTTATATCAATAAAAATTTAAATATTTCATTTCTTTTTCACTTCAAATCATTTTAAATCACAATGTTTTTATTTTTCAAATCTTTTTCAAAGATAAATAAATTCGTTCAGATGAAACTAATTAAATTTTATTTTCAAATATAAAAACAATTTTATTAAATAAATTTTAAATCAAATTCAAACTACGATTAAATTAATTCAAATCATTTTTATTTTATTTTATTTTATCCTCACTCTCTCAACATACTAATTCAACAAAGCAAACTCTCACATATACATTTTTATACAAATTATCGTTTTTATTTTATTACATTTTAAAATAACACTTTTTTTATTCACATTTATTCATCCATTTCATTCAAATATAAACAAAATCATTTTTCTTTTAGAAGAATCAATTCTTGTCAATCATATTAATACTAACACAAAATGGAAACAGCATGGAATTACTGTTGCTGGAGGTGATGAAGATGGCAATCAATTAAATCAACTCTCTCGTCCTTGTGGTATCTATGTTGATGATGATCATCGAACTATTTATATTGCTGATTGTTGGAATCATCGTATTGTTGAATGGAAATACGGAGCAGAGAATGGTCAACTTGTTGCAGGTGAAAATGGACAAGGAAATCGAAGTGACCAATTGAATTTTCCAAGAGATGTGATTGTTGATAAAATGAATAATTCTCTTATCATTTGTGATGGATTTAACAGACGAGTGGTACGATGGTCTCGTCAACATGGTGAAAATGGAGAAACAATCATTTCTGATATTGATTGCTCTCGTCTAACAATGGACAAAAATGGAGATCTTTATGTCTCTGATTGGAAGAAGAATGAAGTGAGACGATGGAAACAAGGAGAGAGAGAAGGAACAATAGTAGCAGGTGGAAATGGACAAGGAAATCATCTCAATCAACTCCATTATCCTACTCATATCTTTGTTGATGAAGATCATTCAGTTTATGTATCGGATTGTTATAATCATCGTGTAATGAAATGGATGAAAGGTGCAAAAGAAGGGATTGTTGTTGCTGGTGGAAAAGGTAAAGGGAATAGTTTGACACAATTATCTTATCTTCAAGGAGTGACCGTCGATCATTTGGGTAATGTGTATGTGGCTGACTCCTCCAATCATCGAATAATGCGTTGGTGTGAAGGATCGTGCGAAGGTGGTATTGTTGTTGATGGAAATGGAAAAGAAGAACAATCAAATCAGTTGAATTATCCCAAAGGTTTATCATTCGATGTTCAAGGTAATCTCTATGTTGTCGATTGTGATAATCATCGAATACAAAAATTTGAAATTGATTCGCATTAAATTTGTAGAGGTGAATGATGAAATGAATAATTAAATTATTTTGTGAAAATATTTTTGTTTATTTTTCTTGAAAACTAAATAAATATATTTTATATTTATTTTATTAGATCTATTATGTTGATAATAATGATAATAAAATATTTGTTATTCTAATTTTGAATTTATTAAATCTAATAAGAGTGGGGGGGGGGGTGTTAGTGAAGATTCATTTCTTCTTTATCGACAACCACATCCTCAAGTTTAAAAAAGGACAGGATTTTTGTACTGTAACACTGTCTATTCTTTCATTGGACAACAGAAAGAAAGCTGAAAGGCAATGATGTGACAAAATCGTTCTTATCTGTAATAAAACACATGTTCGTTGTGGAATGAAAAGGATGCCTGCAGAGGACACTTTTCTCTTATGTTATCAACAACAATACTTCTCATTCTTTTCTCTTTTCTCTTTATGCTTTCATTTCAATAACCAACGAACATCAAGGCATAACACTGTTGCTCTTGACACTTTATTATTAATATAAAAGGTATGAATGCAAGTATTACTTTGTAAAAAAATCAAGACATATATTTGTCTTCAGACGGTGATTGCTAGTAGTGTTCTTTATCTCCAAAGTATGAAAGCAATCTCACCTATATCACTTTTTAACTAGAAAGACAGTTTATATATTACCGATCTAATACATACATCCATTCTTTCTTGGACATCCATCGTCTTTGAACAGTATTTCTTGATGATTATCATGAGACTATTTGTATTTCGTTTACGATATGTCAAATCTTGAAATTCAGAGGCGGTATAATATGTAGGTCGAGTAAAATCTGAGCTCTAATCACGCTGAAAGTACTAAATACCTTTTTCCTACTTGATCTCATCGATTAAAAAGTCGTTAAATTAAAAGTAAAGGATTTTTTAGATTTGAATAATAAATTATGATGAACCACATCGATCATATTATTCTCAATACTCGAAATCGGCTTGATCAGGTAGCAGCATATTTTCAACGTATGGGCTTTATTATCACTCCGCGCGGCTATCATTCAGTTGGTACAGTTAATCACACTATAGTTTTTAAAACTGATTATTTGGAATTGTTCGGGTATACAGAGGACACGCCATCCGAAAAGCGTCTGAGATTGGAACAATTACCTACAGGATTAATAACCATGACGATAAAAGCACATGATGCCGATGAAGTGCAAGCTACGCTCATGGCACGTGGTTTATCAACTATACCAATATTGGATGTATCGCGTCCAGTTCATTATAATGATGACCTGACTGCAAATGCCTCATTTCGTGTAACCCGCATGGAATCTGCTCCCGTTCCTGGTACTGGTGTTAGCTACTGTCAACATTTCAATCCAGAGCTTGTTTGGCGTCCCGAATGGCAGGCACATCCCAACAGTTGCGTTGCTATGACTAAACTTTATATCAATGTAAGTGATCTGCACGCTGCAGCTCAAGTATATCTACGTGCTTTGGATATTGATAAACTAGTTGAGACCGAACCAAATCGTTACATCCTTCATTTGCCAAGTTTTGAAATCATATTGACTGCTGGAAATACTGAACCATTAGGTATATACAAATTAACATTCGGTGTCAATTGCATGGACAAACTCGTCGCTGAGCTTACAAAAGGCGGTATAGAATACCATAAAGAAAATGAACGTATTGTGGCTGATACTCTGTCACATATTGGTTGTGTATTAGAATTCGAGCCTATATCTTAGCCTACGTTACTCCTTATGCATCAGTCCAAGCAACACACGATCGAGACTATTTCATTGACTTCCTTGGATTTAGTTAACTTTTATATAACTTATAAGAGCCAATATCCGATCAGTTTTAATACATATCGTTTAAGTAAAATTGAAATCTTGATTTAATGTTTGACTTTTGTACCAAGTTTCTAGAATTATTACGCCTCATACTGTCAGCAATGCAACCTAAAATCTTTAAGGGTGGGTGTGGCTTCTTTGTTGATAGATATTCGCATCCATATTACAGTGCGATATATGACTGTGGGTGTGAGAGATAGATACCATGTTTATCCTCCCTTGCAAAGTCTATATCTACGCACCCACACATTAATTCTCAAGCTTATGCATCATATCGTTATGAGAAACTCATAAAACCCAAATCCTTTTGATATTCTCCATCTTGAAATTGCATATATACGAGTAATCAACAGAATTTTATTTACCTGTAGAAATTCTCATGCAAATTTGCCTTTACGCCTACACAAGACAGTAAAATTGTTTTTATTCACTGCTCAAGGAAAAGCTGTTAGAATCATAGATCCTCCTGGAGCTTTTGCATTCGAGTGAAAAGATGTTTTGTATGATTCTTACAGTTGACAGCTGACAACAGTCGATATTTCTTTGTTCGTGGTGGGATAGCAACGTTTACGAGATACATTTGCTAGTGGCATGTTTAATAAAATAACGTGCTTATGACAATCTATACAGAATAGATAATTATATTGGTACTGTTTGTTATTGACACAAGATCATTCTATAATATTGTCTTTTCATTTGGAATTTTATTTTTCAATAAAATAATATCGTTTTTATCTCCATCTATTGCACGAGTACCATGATAAATAATTTTATCGAAGAATTTAATAAATAACTTATTATTCATACAATCTGTTTAATAAAAATATATATGAAAAGTTATTAATCATGTTATTTAAATAGACATTGGATAACTGAAAACTATTACAATATCGTCTCATTATTATTTATACAAACTTCAGAGAAATATGGATTATTCGTCGTATGTTTTATTGAATTTTGGGATAAAATCGTGTCTGATACACAAGAAAGAAACGCGTTGAGACGCTGTCAATATTTATTTTTTGATTACGTTTCAACACATAGATTTTGCGTGCCGTGCTACATAAAAAAGAAAAGAAAAAAAGAACAATTGTAACACACATTTAGTCACGATGTCTGTGTTGTATTTTTTTCTTCTTTGCACATTATTCTTTTCTTCTTCATACATACTACGGCTTCGAAAAATAATTTCCTAGTGAGCATATATAATACTTTTCAGCTGAAAATAATTAATTTTTATTTACTTTTGAATAAGACAGATTTTTTTTTATAGATATGAGCGGATTAATACACTGTCAATTTAAACATATACCATCGAAGAGAGATGCTGAACAACTTGCTTCCAATATTGAAACGTATGTATTATTATTTGATAGTTTTTTTTCTATTTGAAAATATCCATTTCATATTAGTTTTGTACGTCCAAAAACCTTTGATAAGGAAGGTATAAAAAAGTGTGGAGAAAATGGAAATGATGAAATTGAATTTACATTGACACGTGAAGAGGCTAATAAAGTTCGTGAAAAATTTAAACAAGTATTACCAAATGAAAATTCATCTGTCTGGTTTACCATTCTCTCGAATCCTCTTGATTCACTTATGTCACATTCATTAGAAACAACTACGGCTGATGTTTACCAGCAAGGAACACCATTTTCTGCATCATGTCAATTTGGTTCACTTCGATCATATAATCAATTTTATTCACATAATTCATTCAATGGTAAAGTTGTTAAACTTTCGTTTATACCATCAACAAAGCCAGATACTTTACATATTGAATTTGATGATATACGTATAGTTATTCCATTTGTTTCGATTCAGAAAAAAAATGTATTAGTTAATAAAGATAATGCAGAAGATGGAATTTATGTTTTACTTCCACTTAAATATGCGCCGAATGTTTTCAAAATGGAACCGATCAAAGGTGAAGATAAAACCACTAAAAACTCAAATAAGAAACCAGTTCGGTATGATTATTACATTTAGATTTTTTTTTGTTGTTACTTAATTATTTCTTTTTTCATTTCTTTTAGAATATGTGCTGGTCAACGAAATATTGACTCTATCAAAGATATTGAACTATGTTCTGATTTGGTATTTTATTTTGTACCACCAAAAGAAAGAGCTTGGAAGTTTCTTTCTTATTTTTTATTCGGTCAATCCGAACAAAATCATATTAATTTTTCGACTTTCAAAATATCGGACTGGTCAACAGAAAATAATAAAAAACAAAGACCTGACCCATTTAATTTTGGAAATGCATCATTTCAAGATCGTTATGCTTTACAAATGCTTATTTCACTTGGATTTGTATTTCGAGATAAATGGGCTCAATTGACTGACCAAGTATTAAATTGGAATAAATGGAATCTCGACGAACGTTATACTTTATGTTGTTATGCAGTTGAACAATTATGTAACGATCATGGATATGATTTAACACGAACTGCAAGAGATTATAATGAAACAAGAAGAAGAAGAGCAGTTAGTAATATGGACGAACAGGCAATATTAGTTGGAAACAGAGAACGACTTAAAGTTGCTACTTGTACATTAACACCATTAAAAATTATCTTTCAACCACTTGAGGTTACAATGGGAAGTCGAGCTTTAAGAAATTCTAAGTAATTTTATTTTGATCATTCGTTTTTTTTCACTGATATTAATACTAAGAATTTCTATGTAGATTTGGTGGCGCAGAACGATTTCTTCTTGTGCATTTTCGTGACGAAGATAATCGAAGATTACGTGTTTCCAATTCAAGTATCAAGCATAGATTAAAAAACGCAATGCTTAATGGAATTGAATTATGGAAGAAAACGTTTAAATATATAGGTGCAAGCACAGGTCAAATGAAAGAAATGGGATTTTGGTTTATTGATCTACCTCCGGATTTGAAAGATATGAAAGACGCACGTGATCTATTAGGAAAGTTTGATAATATAAAAAATATTGCTACATATATTGCTCGTGTTGGTCAATACTTTTCCACCACATGGCCTATTGGTGTAAGTATATTTTGTACAAAATACTTCGTTATATATTTATATATATAATGTTATTTTGTAGATTAAGTTGGTTAAAGTAGCAAACAAAAGTGATATACGTTCAAATGATGAAGCATATTATGTTTATGAAGAGAACGATATTAAGAGAAACGATGGCAAAGGAATTGAATATTGTTTTACGGATGGTATTGGTAAAATATCATGGGGTTTAGCTGGACGTGTAGCTCAACAAATGAATATTCCCTTATACAGCAAAGTTTGTTTAAAAGAATTAAATTTCTTATCTATTGCTTGCTGATTTTAGGAAGATATTCCATCAGCGTATCAAATACGCGTCGCTGGCTGTAAAGGTATGGTGGCTATTGATCCAGAATCGACATTGAATGACTATTATATTTCTGTACGTGGTTCAATGATAAAATTTCCTAGTGATGATTGGAATCTAGAAATATGTGAATTCGCTCGACCTAGTAATCTATACATATTTCTGATTTGTTAATTGTTTTTTAAACATTCAATTATTTAGTGACATTAACATTAAACAATCAAGTAATTCGTCTTCTGAGTGATTTAGGAAATCATGATGATGTATTTATTGCTTTTCAAAATCGAGGATTTACTCAATGGGAAGTGCCTGAAGATCAACAACCGAGTGCGATCGATATCGCAGTACAGAAAAATGCGTCTTATTCATTATCGTAAATAAATAATTTTTTTATCTAGAAAAATAAAACATAATAATTTAACTGAACTATTTCTTATAGAAAAGATAATTTAATTACAAATCGTATACCTATTCCGCCAGAAGACGGTCGAAATTTATTTGGTATAGCAGACGAAACTGGTGAACTGAAATATGGTGAATGTTTTATACAATGCTCTTCATTAGATGCAGCAAACAATGGTCAACGAAAATTTCGCGTGATTACTGGTAAGTTGCATTGATAACCAATTGATTTTTTCAATATGATGATTTCTTTTGAGGCTCCGTCCTCGTTACAAAAAATCCATGTCTATGGCCCGGCGATTTTCGCCAATTACGAGCTGTTCGTAATCGTAAATTAGAAGAATGTATGCGTGATGTTATCGTATTTCCAATTAATGGCCATCGTCCACATTCAAATGAAATAGCTGGCTCTGATTTAGATGGTGATCAATATTGGGTTTATTGGGGTGATCGTTTAAGAATAGAACAGAATGTTGAACCTTTATCATATGAAGGAGCAAAAAAAACAGAAGTATCATTAATTACCCAAGAGATCATTGTTAATCATATTGTTGAATCATTTGGAGCTGGTATCATTTTGGGTATGATTGCAAATACTCATACTGTTGTCGCAGACCAACACAAAGAACATTCGTTCTCTAAACCTTGTAAAAAATTAGCTGAATTGTTTGCACTTGCTGTTGATTCCCCTAAAACCGGGAAATTTGTTGATAAGGCGGAAATTCGACCATTTCAAGCAGAATATTGTAAAAGTTGGCCAAAATATATGAGAAAATTTGGTGAACCGTCATACAAATCAATAAGTGTTCTAGAAAAACTTTTTTCAAATGCTGTAGAAGAATATTATAAATGGCACGAAAAACCAGTGATTAATACATTTCCACAAAAAATGGGAGCTATTAAAGGTGCAACAACAAGAGAAATTCAAGATCATAAGTTTAAAAAATGGCTTGATGGAGAGACTTATAAAGAAACTGTGAATTCAAAGAAGCCTCAAGGGAAACTAGTTAAAGAACCTGGTAATAATGAATCACCAGATACTAGTTTATTTACTACACCGTGAGACTTTTTGATGTTTTTATTTGTATAATCGTTTATTCTTAAACTTATCTTAGGAAAAAAACTACCAAACGTTCTACAACAGCAACAACAGATAATTTACAATCAGAAACGAAAAAACTCGTTAATAAATTATCGGAAGATACACCAAATCGGCCAGAAACACCAGTAAAACCAAAATCTACAACAAATCGAAAAGCAAAAAACACTTCTGAGTACATTTATCTTCATCTTTTACTTTAACATTCAGATCTACCTAATTCTTATTCATTTTTTAGTGAAGAAAAGCCTAATATACTAATAAATTCTGACGTTTCAGCATCTGTTGCTTCATCACTGACCTCATCTTTAACATCCCTGAATAGCGATTCGTGTCAACCCGATTTTCTCATGGCTGTTGATACAAAAACTTCAACTCTAAGTGTTATACAATTTTCCCCCGTCGCTGGAGCTTCTACGTACACAGTTAATCTAAATAAAGAAACAACAAACACTCCTGATCGAGACGTGATAGTAGGTAAATTGATGTCCTATATAGAAAAACAAGCTGTTTTCAAGAAAAAATCATCTCCGTACAATGAAGCAATCCATGGATCACTTTATTTAATGGTCTTCTATGGTGATATAAATTTTGTTGAACAAAATCCAATGCCTCAGAAACTTGGTGTATTAGAAAAGCTTATTGAAGAAAAAGATGATCAATTTATTGATTTTAAACATGCCGATATCAATCGTTTACGCATCCAAAGAGTGAGTTCATGATAAATATTATTAATACCATCAATATATTTTTTTCTCCTCTTTATGATTTATTTAGGTATCATCGTCAACAACAATGAAAAATAAAATAGATTATGAATTTGATTTTCGTTTAACTTTAACTTCGTCAGAATATTACACATTGTTATATGATAAAAACAAAACTCTGCAACAAATACGTCTCTATCGTATATGGTCGAAATGTTATGTACGTCAACCAGGTTTTAATATGGATAGTTTATATGAAATTCGTTCTGTCATAACACACAATACAGGCTCATCGGAATTTAATAGAATTGTTGATTTAGTCTTACGACCTCAATCAACTGGATTATTCGATGGTCGTAGACCAAATATTAAAATAAATCGTAGTCTTCTTCATTCGTCAGTCGTACCAATCAGTCTCAAAGTTATTGAAGAAGATCAAGAAACTCGAATATATTCATTGACATCTGAAGCTTTCTATCGAAAGGTAAAATATGTATCAATAGATGAACTACAAGATAAACCGAAAATATCCTCAACCATGGAATATCATGTCTCACCGATTAGTAAGGACCAAGACATGTTGAAACAAGTCTGTGACTTTGCTTTGTTACCGACAGAGGAATAAATTTTTTTTAAATCTTTGAGCTCAAATATCAACAACCATCAGTATCATGATTAATTCATAATTTACAAACTTGTTTTTTATATCATTTTTTATATCATAACAGAAAACGCTTTCTGCCTATTAAAGATTTTTTTAAATATATGATTTTCACTAATGAAAACAAAACATAATAGTTGAAAAATAAATCCTTGAGGGCGTGAGTGAAATGTTCATCTCTTACTATGACCTACTCTTTATAGATGATATCGAAAGTACTGCGTTTTTCAAATCTTCAGCAAAATGAATTGTTTTATTTTATAATTCTTGTGAAGTTAACTGTTTTTTGTTCTAAATAAATCGTACTTTAACACTATATTCATTAATCCTAACATTTAATACAATATAGGTTCAATAGATATAAGAATTTTTCACCTTCAAAGATTTGTATAACATCAGTCATTGCTTTAGTTCTTAGAAATCATTCTGATTTCATGAAATATCAAGCTACATGAGATGTAAGAAGAACATTATCCAATTGAATTAATTCTTCGTCGATGTCAGGTTCATTTTCAAGAACATCAAATTCAGCATATGAGATCTGACTACTTTTCAATAGTGAAATCAAAGCTTTTGTATCGACAAGACTGTCTCGACTAACACTAACTAGAATTGGTCGTCGTCTCATTTAAGTTATCGGATCTGATGAAATAATATCACTTTGTTCAAAGATTTCTTTTAATGAGCTATTATTATTCCAACTTTAATATAATTTTCTTTTTTCTTATTTAACTTAACAGAACACAAAACGTCGCATTATATTTGGAAAATATACTTTCGGTATATGACATGGCAAAAATAATTACAGAATTCTCAGTCGACCGTCACTTATTGAAATTTGAGAATCTGGCCAGTATATTATTTTGAACTGCACTTTATTTTACAATAATATCGAAGATAATACTTAATAAACTTTGAATTTATACAATAGAATTACAAAAAATATAAAATATGTTCTTCATAATTTATGTTATTGCTACTATATCAGTATTTGGTCTTCGATTGAATTTTTTCATCACAATTGTTTTAATTGGATCAGTAAATTGAAATAGAGCAATCATAATAAATAGTAGTGAAACATCAACAAATGAAAAGGCAATACGAATAGAATATTTTGGTGGTTGATTAATAAATCCCATAAGAAGAAAGATTGTATAAGGTATACCAAGTGTTAATTCTATTGATACAAGTATAACTATTCGTTTAACCATTTGCAATTCTCTTTTTGCACGAGATAAAATATTAGCTGGTGTTACACGTCTATTAATCTCTTTGACATATCGAATCAATTTAAAATAAATAAATATTATACCATTCATAGGTATTAAATATATACAAACTATATTATAGATCGATATAAAAGAAAGATGAAGTGGTAATTCACATAACTGATCGTCGATGTAGTATTGTATTTCACTAGTAAGCATGTGTGGAATAGTACAAACAAAGGCAAATATCCATGATAAACCGATGAGAAAAATTTGAAGTCGTTTTGATTGCCATAATAAACGAGATGGGTAAACAGCAGTCATATAACGATAGTTTGCTTGTAATAAATAAGAATAAAATTGTCCGGCACAGAAAACATAACCAATGTAAGATCGAAAAATACAAAATGAATCTTGATATTGAATGTGTCTAAGATCATTTAGAAGTTCAACGATAGTTATCGAAAACATACGACTTGCTAATAGAAGTTCACTAAAACATGAGTTGACAATTAGTATCATAGAAACTGTGTGACATGTTTTATGTATTGTGGCAAGATATATAAGTATTGCAGCTAGTATTATTACGAAAGTAAGACATATGATATTGATAATACCAAGAGGAATAAACCAAAACTGATTATCTATGATTGTTGAGTTCATATCTTTTTTTGATATAAAAAACAGGAAAGTTCTTCAGTGTATTTTCGAAAGATAGAAAAAACAACAATATATTTTTTTGCAAGCTTCAATGAATGACAGTAATTAGACATGCTTTAGTTTTTACATTAATTATATAAAAGACTTTCTGAAGTTTAAAATATTCTGCATGAATAAAAAATTTGACTTCTTTTTTGAGAAATGATATAAATATAATACTTTCGGAAGATAGAATTATATTTTATTAGGATTCATTAATGAAGCGCATTAGGTAGATGGAAGCATCAATTATTAAATTATTTATTGATGGAAATGAAAAGTAGAATATTTTTCTTTTCTCTACTATTGATAGTGGGTTAGTAAGACGGTGATAGCTGTTGGACATGATCTTTGCTCATCTTATTTGAGAGTGTAAATGTTAAATAGCAGGAACATAAAATGATTGATAACAATACTAACACAACGAATAAGGATGAACATAATCAACACAAAGATATATCGGATCAACAGAAAGGGGAAATATCAACTATATATAAACATCAAAAAGAAATAAATAGAACCACTCACTCAGTACCCCTTCAAATAATCTCTAATAATGTTCCTAAACAGTATTTATCAAAGTTAAATTAAAATTAAGTTTTATAAATGATATCAATGCATGCGTACTCTTCTCTCTTTATCTATATTTACGTATCGGTTGATTAAGCGCTATAAATATATTTTGTATTAATTATTTTTGTATACACCATATGATATGACGAACAGAAATATCTGTTCTATAAAAAGTGTAATGAAGAAATTAAATTTTTAATATTGAAAACAGTAATTATTAGTAAGAATATTTCATAAAATGAGCAGTCAGTCTATTCTGAAATGATCAACATCGTAGAACAGAATGGGTGAGTGAGAGTGTCAGTAATGTATTCATCTCACACCCTCAAGATGTAAAACAAAACAGAATAGAAAACCGTATATTATACAGTTCGATATGTGTTCAGTTCCTCTTTCGAATAGTAGAAATCAATCTTGCTTGAAAAATATGGGTACTCATGTAGTTATAACTTATTCTAAGAAAGGTTATTATGACATCTTTTGAATCGTAATGATATAGCACAAGAAAATATTCTAAAAGGAAATCAGGTGATGACGCCACTACTTTTGATACGATCTAAGTAAGTATAATTCTTGTTTTTTCTGCATAAGACAGAGAGAGATAATTGCATTGTCGACAAGTCAAAAGGGAAAAAAAGAGAAGATAACCATCTTGAGGGGAGATGGTAGATAATAATCTTGTTCCTGTCTTTGCAGAAAAAAATGATGCACCTTTGCTCTTTGTATTTTGCACAGAAAATTCACTTAAAGAGGTTTTTATGTAGCTGATAATGCATAAGTAAGCATGTGGGTGGGAACAGCATATTTATATCCCATTCAAATTCCCACCCACACTCCGCTTCTACATTTGCCTCAACATCGTGAATTTGAATATCATTTGTTCACGATTTTACTACTGCATCTATACGGCATTACTCACATTGAACAAATGTAATGTTATGGGAGACCTACTTGATGAATTATGTACTATTCAAGTCAATATTAAAAACGAAAAACACAATGAAACAAATATCTGATTAATACTGAAAAATCTAACAGAACAGATATCTTATTAATAATAAGGAACCTAGTGGAAGCAAGATTCTACTTTCTACCCGTATCCCACAAGTCCTTTAGTTATAAATTAACTGTCTTCTTTCTGTTAAGATCTTGATGGTTCAACTTTACTAAAGTACATAGCAATAAACAACATAAACATATACCACAAACTACTGTCTCTCAATCTACGGAACATATTACATTTATTCATATTTTCGACATCAACAGATAAGCAGTATAATAATCATCTACATTTATTTAAACTGAATCAACTATTTAATACTAATAATAGCAATGTATTCCGAGAATAATTACCTTCACCTATAAATCTTTCACAATAGTATCTAAACTGACATCGGACTTTTGACCAGTTGATCTTGCTATTGAACGCATTACGAAATACTGTAAAATATAGAATAAGTAAGACAGCTAACATTATCTTTCTTTCCAACAAACTGAAGTTGATCAGCAAAATAACCCGAACTGATGATTTACTTATTCTACTACAGTCGTATTATTCTTCTGATTTTCTTCTTAAAGCCCCATTTCTTTCCTTCCATTTTAGTTTTATTTTCACTTTTCCTTCATTCGAGCAGCTTTGATGGGTGCTTAAATATAAATAGATAAATAAGATAAAACGTGTCGACAAGATAAATTCTGTATCTAATTAAATATTTTAGAAGCACATCGTAAAATAAAAATCAATATTCTGCATAAAACTCGATTACTGAAAAGCAAAAGTACACATTACAAGACTAAAATTATCCATTTGCTACAAGATAGGTAAATACGTTCCTGATGGATTCACAACCACACACTTCCTTAGTATATCACCCTTTTATTTTTTAGTGCATCACGGAGATATTCTTTTCCTTTAATTCCCATTACGTTGTTCGAGAGATTCAGTGCGATGAGTGTCTATATGAGAAAGTACAAATAGTTATGCAAAATAAGTGAAGAGTAAATGATTAATACTGTGTTAATTCGTAGTGCATTACCGAGATGTTGTGCTCCGTCAGCTCCGATAGCATTACTCTCGAGATTCAATGCCATGAGTGTCTGTATGAGCAAGTACAAGTAGTTATGTGAAAGAGATGAAGAGTGAATGATTAATACTGTGTTAATTCGTAGTGCATCACCGAGATGTTGTGCTCCGTCAGCTCCAATTTTGTTACTTTGGAGATCCAATGTGATTAGTGTTTATAAGAAAAATTACAAAAAGTTATGTGAAATAGATGAAGAACGAATGAATATTACAGTGTTATTTCGTAGTGCACTACCGAGATGTTGTGCTCCGTCAGCTCCGATATCGTTACACTCGAGATTCAATGTCATGAGTGTCTGTACGAGAAAGTACAGCTAGTTATGTGAAATAGACGAAGAACGAATGAATATTACAGTGTTGTTTCGTAGTGCGTCACCAAGATGTTGTGCACCGTCAGCTCC